ACACACACACACACACACACACACACACACACACACACACACACACAGGGCTCTACCTCACTCCTGTGCCTGTTCAAACATCACAGGAGGGTGTTCTCTGTTCTGTGTTGTTTAAGCTCTTGATATAAACAGTAGATCCATACTATCAAGTGTGACAAAGGGAAATGAGAATGTGAGATGACAGCTGTACCCTGTTCTCTCAGCTGATTGGCATTGACTGTGGGCATGCAGTGTTTACACTCTCTTTGTTGTTACATTAGTTGTGACAAACCCCAGATCAGTTGTCAGCAGCTGTCTGTCAGGAAGCAACACCCACCCTGATCCCACCAATGATGAACTATATGCTAAGTGAATATGTGTCACCTTCCACCTCAGTTCTGTTTGAACTGAGAGATAATATTGTGGAAGTTGCAACCCCAGTATTTCCTTCTTTTGCTCTCTGAATTTGTGAGGGAGTTGTTTGCGTGCAGCTGCTTTGGACTGTCTTGGACCATGGCTGCTAGGGAAGTGTATCACTAAGTAGCCTACACTTGGTTTCCTCTGGCACAAATCAGTCGATGAGTTAGTAAACTTGATGTGTTTTCCACTCGGTTCGGTTTATTTCACAAAGAAATAATTGAGGTCATCGGAAACTGTTTGGACAAGGGCAGGCACTTTCAAAACATACTTGGAAGGTGATTGGATGAACCATCTGTCAATCAGATTCCTTCTGAAGACAGTGAGGAGAAGAGAGAAAACATCTTTTCCATAGAGAAAAGTCTTCAGTGTCGTTCTTTGTTCTTCCTTCAATGAAGAAATGCTCTCCAGTCCTGATAGAACTGATGCTTTTGCTGCATCTACGCTAACCTCTTCAGGAGCCGCCATTGTTTAGAACAAACTCTCCTCTCCGTGTCGTCACACACACACATAAGCCACGCATAGCTTCTACAGATATGTATGTAATTATTTCATGATCTCATGACATCCCAAGAATCAAGCTGCTGTGCAAGGTATGAAAACTCAACTCAGTTGAGCAAAAGGTTGATAATGCAATCGTATAAAAAAACAAAACAGCACTTGGAAATTATCTTGTGGAATAATTGCTCGATTTGAGAAAACACATAGAGATCTAAATATTAGTATATATGAACTTCATGAGTAATGTCTGTTTAGTGGACTGCACTAAACATAGTGCACTTTATTTTGTCAAAACTTAGGACATTTTAGTTGTGTGTGTGTGTGTGTGTGTGTGTGTGTGTGTGTGTGTTACAACAGACTGAAAGAATCTACACCACAGACTAACTAATCATTCAGGAGCTGGATTCACTCAAATATTGCTGACTACGTGGGTTTACATCGACACATTATTATCTGAGGGGAGACGTAGATGTTGATGATGATGCACTTATTCGTACAGATTACACGTTAACTGAAGGTCATACATGTCAGCTTGCTGCCTTGCCTCTTTTCATGTTCGTCCAAGCTGTTTTGTTGCTGATTCTACTTTTCATTCATTATTTTCCCTCCAACGACGGGTGATGTTTGCTAACATTACACACATAACATTGATGAAACTCAGGTCAAAGTCAACTTGCTGAAGAGATATTTTGTTCACAGATATGTAGGTTTTTGTATTTAAACTCATTTGTCACAGTATTAACACATTACTAAAACAAATGTCAAAAAAAGGTCAAAATGTCATCATTTATGTTGTTTCGGAGCTTACCTGATTTAGTTTGAATGTTTTCTCTCTCATGTTTTTTTGCTGACACTGGTGGTCTGTAGGCTTACATTTTGTAGCAAAAGCTTGTTGTCAAAGCAGACCATCTACTACGACTATGTCGTCTATATGTTTTGAGAAAGGCTATATAAGATAAGATGGACTTCTCCCGGCTCCTTTTGTGAGCATGAAATGTGTTTATTTTGAAAAATGACAGTGTATATTTTGTTGGAACATGATGTGTACACCCAAAAGAAATGCAAAAAAACAACAATTTAAGAATCATATCATGATATTTGTTTCTCTCCTCACTCACTCTGCTCTTACCTGGTCCCAGTCTATACTGCGGAAAAATGTGTGTGCCTTGATATCTGTGAAGCCCGTCTGGACCTGGCATCCCAGCCGCTCCTTGGGATCCTGTTGGGACCAAGACAGCTGGTCAGGAACACAAACAGGAGACATATTTCATGCAATGTGAAGTTATTCATTAGAACGTAGATGTAGACGAATGCAGACTTACTGTCAGGTGGATTCTACTTTACGTGGACACTAATAAAGTCCAGGGCGGACGATGTTGAGATAGCATTTCTCTTAATATACTTTAGAGGTTATGTAGTCTTAACAGAATGAAGCAACGTGGACAATTAGTAATAATGCAGGCCACACAGGTTTGCATCACACCCTGCATGTGTACATGAAGCCCCCTGTAACTGCTTAACTTGGACTGGGCGCTTTTCATCACAACAATTATGGTGATGCCCTACAGAGGCACAGTGCATGTGAAAGGCTGCCTGCGGGACCAGAAGTAGCCTCGTGCATCAGAGCTACACCATGACGACACACACACGAAACCTTGTTGCAAAAAACATGAAACCTGGGGCTGAAATGCATAAACACTTCTGCACATGTACACACAGAATAAATGAGAATGCTCTGTAATCATTCTACAACTGGAGATTGAATCATGTATATGTCTTAAAGGGCCACACCAGTGATTTTACATGTTGTAGTTCATTTACTACACAACATTTTTGCTGCTGAAACTTTAACAACATTTTCAGAATTGTGAGTGTTTTTTGTTTCAGGTAATTGTCTTTCATTCGTTTCACTAAGGTATAAAATTTAGAGTCTTGAAACTTGTTTGATTAAAATGAGAACTCTGGTGTTATTCTATACATTTGTTTTTATCGACAAATTTCCAGTAAACCCTAAAACAATGTGTCCAAGTTGTACATTCGTTCATACTTTCTGACTTCACAACCCTCTCTGTGAGGCCACAAGCCCACTGGATCCTACTGAAGTCACAAATCGTTTTCTAGCTCACAAATAAATAGTTTCATTTTGTAAAAAGGCTCAGTCATTTCCTCAAACACCTGGTCACTCTAGGTTTTAACAAATGTTACTCCAGCAGGAGGAAATATTGCATTTCTTGGGGACTATTTTCAGCAGCGGATGAATCCACATTTGGTGCTCTAATGAGTATTTGTGGCAGCGGGCCGTCGTATGTGGGATTGAGTCAAAATGTACTAGTGTGTGTTGATGGTGATGAAGGAACATGTCAGCCAGTGCAACAGTGTTGCTCATTGATGTGTTTGTAATAGTTTTGAACAACAATGGCACAGAGAAATAAGACCGCATCATGTAGCGTCTTTATCCAAAGTGCTTTACAGAAGAATACAAACATCCGAGGGTGAACAAGAAAGTTCATTTACGTGAAGACGCCAACAGAAAAATCTCAATGGAGAGATGATGAGATTTAGGAACTCCTGTCGATAAGGGCTGAAGCGGAAAAAGTCGGAACTATTCAAGGAATGGCAAGAGACTCGGTTGTATATGCATAAATAACGAGCCGTCTATGTGACCGTGGTGTTTTTGCGCAGCATTGTACACAGAGAGAAAGAGAGGGGGGGGGGGGGGGGGCTGACTGGGAGTGGAATGCTCTCACCTTGTTGAGAAAGCCCTTGAGCACGCTGGCAGCTTTCACCGACAGAGACCTTGGGATGCGAATGGGCTTCTCAAGAATAACTGTTGGCGGAAAGAAAAGAAGGACAGACAGAGAGACAGCGACAGAGAGAGAGAGAGAGAGAGAGAGAGAGAGAGAGAGAGAGAGAGAGAAAAGGACAAGCGTGAGTAGGGAGGAGGATGATTCACAGTCCAACCTGCCTGTGGGTGACCATGTCTGCTGAGTGGGAGTCAAAGGAAGGGAGGAGATACAGAGGACACTGTTTTGTTATTTTTTCTCACTTATGATGGGTTAGACACAGCCTTGAGACTCCCACAGCTCAACAATGTCATACAAACGATGAACAAAAAAATCTTTGAAAAATTGTTTATCGAAATAAAAGGATGTAGAGTGCTGCCTCACACATTAGCGAGAGAATGTGTGAGGCAGGAAGAGAGGAGACACTGAGCGCACCTAGCGGGTGTAAGGTCGGGCCCAAGAGGTTTGTTTTCGGTCAAACTTCTGCTTCCAAGGTAAAGGATCATTAGACTGTTTTTTTCCAAATATATTTCAGTTATTCAAATTGTACATGTTCTAAAATGAATACCACCTTGTCCCATGTTTGCCAGCAGTCTGTCTGTCTGTCTGTCTGTGTAAAGATGTGGGGCTGGCATGTGCAGCACTGATAGCCAAAGCAGAGTCTGGCACAGGGTCTAGCTAGGTGCCATATGGCTGGGTGGCATCCTATAGTGAAAAGGTTGGTTTCCGTTGGGAGGAATTCATCGAGGAACCTGCTGCTCTACCAGTAAGACCACCACGAGGATGGTACTGGTGGCAGATGCTAGCCACGGTGCCATGCTATGCTCCCGACAGTCACAGCAGAGACATAATGCGTCACACAAGGCTGCTGTAGTACGGAGGAATTTCTGTTATAGAGGAGTGTGTGGGTGGCTGTGTGAGAGAGGGAAGAGGTGAAGGAGTGTGCTATGTAAGGGTACCATATGGCTCGAGGAACACAAATGCAAATATGACAGATATTAGAGAGGTTCCTCTACCCTGAGGGTGAGATCACACCGAGAAGGGTGTTATGGGTAAGAGGTGTGCTGTTGAACGAGCACACCTCCTGAATCCCATCAATGCTTTAGTGTGGACCGTCAGTCTGGAGGCAGCTTTGAAACATGTGAAAAATCACAAAAGATCATACTCAAAATCTGTACAAGTATTTAAAGAAAGTTCAGCAAATGACCCTCATTCATGTAGTTTGCAGCCTGGAGAATACAGCGTGTTCCAGCCTGAGGGCCATGTGCATGGATGTGCATTTGGAAACATTCGAGTGACTCAACGCGCTTCTTTGTGTAGATCAGTGGAGATTTTTACACGTGCATCTGCAGAATTGTAATTTCCTTAACATTTGACGGCTGTAGCGCACAAAGACACTAAGCACACAGATGAATGTAATAGAAGTGCTGCTTTGCTTGATGTCAGTGGCATTGACACATTTTCTTTGCACAGAGCAAGGACTGAGAGCTAACCAGATGCACATAATAATATTATGAGGAAGGACTCGCAACTCTATAAAGTTATTACGGCAAGAATCCTTTTATCCTTCATTCTGACACCAGGTAAGAGTACTCCATTTACATTTACAGTCATCGACCAGGCTGGATGATGCATACACTGAGCTACAATGATGAGAATACGGAATGGAGCTTCAACACATCTTCTGTGGAAACAGAAAGGGGATGTCACTTAATGCTACATCACTCTACATTACAGTCTATGCATGAGTCCAGACTCTGTTGGTGATACGGCTCATTTTGTTACGCCAGGCTTTCCAAGTAGAAGTGAATGCTGGCTGTCACATTTCTACATCCGTCTCGTTATACCATTAAAATCATAATTATGAAACAATGTTCCAACAACAATAAACATGCTCATGCAGTCTGACTGATGGAGAACAGAGTCCTGTGTTTTGGGGAGCCTCAGTGTGGTTATTTGGCGCCATCTCAGTTTAAATGAAAATGCCATCAGCTGGCAAATGAAGCAAAGCAGAGAGAAAAAATAATAATAAAAACACTGAACTGTTCCACACATGCATCCTAAATCTGTAATAGAGGCCACAGTTGATGAGGGGTGTGGGAGCGTGCATTACAGCATGTGCATGCAGCAGTACATCATTACATGAATTCTCAAATAGTAACCCATCCCTTGTTCACACACATGTGCTTTAACAGCATTTTGTTACAGTCGTGTTATCTTTAAGACTTTAGGAAAACCCGATGCTTTTTGCCTGACCACAATGCATTTCTGCACTCATCCAATGGGGTCATAAGAGTTTAATCTACCAGAAGGTGGAATTTTCTCAGCCTATAAAAGGACCATGTAATCTGTCAACAGAAAAACACACATCACTGAATTAAACAAGACACTTTTATCAACAGAGATTATGAAAAAAAACAAAAGTATGAATGGAGGTTCTCTTACTATTATTTCCCCCGGCCGTATCAGGCTTTCACACGTAAATATAACGATACGTTTACTCAAATGCCAAGAGATTTCACAGACTTGAATAAAACAAGAGTGGCAAACTAAAACCAATGAACATTTGAGAGAAATAAACGTAGCCCTGTTTGTGAGATCCCTCCATTTTAATGCAGCATGCCAGAACCATCTAAGCCTCGATGTATACACGTAAACCTTCACAGCCCAGAGCTGATTGTTATTCTGTTACATTATTCCTCACTCTCACAATATCAGTTATGTGTCACAAATGGCTAAATTAACATCTTTTTGTTTAAATGGCGCTGAGCAGCCTGCCATGTGCTCTTAATATTCAGATCTGATTCCCCACTATTCCCCTATACTCCTAACCCTTAAAGCTTAGAGGATGGGGTACATGCCTGCTGATGAAACAGGGACTGATATTGTTTACTATGGGTGGAGGATAAACAAGACTAGGTGGAAGAAACCATGTGGCTGGACTGCGTGTGATCGGGGTGCTAAATTGTGACAGGGATAGTCAGCAGTGTCTGGATATGAAATGTTCATCTGCAGTTTTCTGGAGCATATCATTAATTCAACAATATAATCATGCTACTTTCTATAATGTCTTGTTCTGCACTTCTCCAATTTCTTCTTTACAGTTTTTTGGACTTCATCTTTATCTTCTTTGCTCGGCTGCTGAAATGTCCCCATGGGACTAGTTCAGTATCTTTCTCTCTCTCTCCGATCGTCAACCGTCCTCACGACAGATATGCCTCTGGGGTCAAGGAGCTATATTTCTAGTGTTCTGGTGTATCCAGCAGATACTTCCTTTACCTTGAGCTGCTCGTTGTCTACAGTTTGATTAAATGTGAGATGAGAGACCAGTATGACTGGATTCTTTTCACAAGTAGCCAGTTAATACTATCTTGACAACTGAAGTCACTGAAAAATTCCAATATTTACAATTACAATTAAACAATGATTAATGCGTTTACTCTTTCTTGTCTCAACTCTCAACTCGTTAAATACCGATGCTTGGGGCTCTACACTTCAAACTATGTCGCTCTGACTTCCCCTCCAGTGTTCGTTTTGGACGTGTCAGAGACGACGTGACAAGTTGTCGCTCGTGTTTTCATAAAGTCTTTCAAAATAAACTTCTGTGTTCATAGGAAACGTATAGTTTGCCCTCATCACATACATACAGTCTCTTTTCAAAAGAAAATTCTGATAGTAAAACTGTTATGTAACACGAACAGCAGTCTCCTGGGTAAGAGTCCTGTGTTTGCTTGACACCACTATCACCAAGATTTTCCTTGAATGAAACTATTGGCCAGACTGCCATGCACTCTAGTATTAGACATTTTCCATTTCCTTTAGGCAGATGTCAACACAATTTTAAAAGAACATTCATGCTGCCCAAAAGAATAAACCCTTTAAATATGAGCCCAGCCATTATTTGCAAATGTATGATAGCTTCTTGAGATGTATATTTATGTTGGTATTGTTGCTTTTACAAGGCGGAATAATGCCTCAAAACTAAAAAAAGAAAACAAATAAATCAGTTAAAAAATCTCAACATATGCAAATATTTACTAAAAAGTGAAGTCTTCTAGCAAAGGCTTGCAAAGTGACAACTGGTCTTTCCCAGTTGAAAGCCCTTTCCCCTGAAGCTTTGTTCCTACTATGGTCATGACCCGCCCCATGCTGCCTCTGATTGGCTAGTCCTTGTTGCCTTCCTTGGTTGGGTTGGTTAGGTTGAGAGTGGTTGGGGTTAGGGTAGGAATATCAGGGTAATCAGACGCAGAGTAGGAAGAGAAATATGACTTCCTGGACAGCAGTGCCATGGTACCTCCTCTTGCAGTGTGTATCTAACAGGTATAAACCCTGGGTATTGTTACATTCCTCTGCCTCACCTTGAAAGAGGTACTCCTCTGTGTTCATGTCGGGATTGTCGGTGATAATGTCGAATGGGGACCTCCCAGCCATCATCTCAAACATCAGCACGCCCAGAGCCCACCAGTCCACACTGAAGCCTGGGACGGCACACAACAATAAGACATGTGGCATGAAAAGACTCACTTACCAGACACTTATCAGTATTAATCACAAACTGAGGCTGGTTTGGTAACTAGTAAAAACGTTTTCTATGGACATGCACTGCCACAGAAGCCAGGCTCAGACTGCAGGAGTTTTAAAATCCTAACCAGTTTAGAAATTGTTTTGCATCACACATTTGGGAGAATGCTCACAGATGCTCTTCTCTTTAATCTCAAACACGTACACAGTATAAGATCTGAAAATAATGGTGCATCACACACTGCAGGATTTTATTAATATTATCATGCAACGCACCACCTCATGTGATCTCTCTTACGTGATCTCTCTTACGTGATCTCTCTTACGTGGTTTCATTAGGGAGCAGATGTGAAGACTGAAAACTCTCTGTAGCAATGCTTTGCAGTTAGAAAAAACAAAAGCAGAAGTCTAAATGAGTCGGGATGAGAAATGGCTGGTCAGTTTTAATACCCGTTAACATTGGAATGCTAAAAAACGTTAGCCTTAAGGGCTAGAATGTTTACGGTTTTCATCCGCTTGGAAACATCGTCAGCTGCTCCGGCTTGTCTTTCTCATTGGCTATCGTGGTCCCACTCGAATCAGGTACCGATGTAATCATCAAGACTTTATCTCCTAAATATCACACGTTTGAAAATAACCGGGGCGGCTCCGATTAAAGAGTGAACAGCTTGGAAACCCTTCACATTACCAGATAATCTGGGCCTAACATCGGGACCGACGAAGGTGCTGGACTGGATTTCCCCCCCGATTGTCGGGAGGGGTATATCGGGGATAAACCACCCCTGAACTCCTTTAGTCTGAGCCCGGTTTTAGGCCACAAAAGTTGCCCAATGCAGTTTAGGTGGTGTAGTGCATGATTTAAATCCATCCTTCATTACCTTTTCATTCAAATTTTAAGATTCACCATCAGAAGTTTAGAAACAAAAATACGAGTTGTTGGGATCAGCGTTTGGACATGAATTGATCCGACCCACTGGGACTCCTGTACTCACCGTAGTCCTCTCCTCTGAGAATCTCGGGTGCAATGTAGTTGGGTGTTCCACAGAAGGTACTAGTGGTGTCACCTGGTCTAATCCCCTCCTGAAGGGTTCCAGTGATATAAGAAAAAATAATATGATGTATAAGAACCAGAACAGTGGACAGAAAAGCAGAGACAGAGGCCCCGTCAGTGTAGTCAATACAGACATTGTATTCTTGATAACCTCTACGCCAACCGTCCACACAGCTGACTGAAGGAAAATCAATCGGTGTCTTACCTTGCACATGCCGTAGTCTGTGAGCTTGATGTGTCCCTCGTGATCCAAGAGAACGTTGTCCAGCTTCAGGTCTCGGTAAATGATGCCCTTTTCATGCAGGAAGTTCAGAGCGATACAGATTTCAGCAGCATAAAATCTGTGAAGGAGAAGAGAAAAATGCAGGGAATGATGAGCTGTCCACTGGTGCCACCATCAGGCCAAAGAATTAAACCAGAAAACGACACATCGCCATGGTTGCACATGTTGTGTTGGTGTCATATGACCATCACACTCACAGGGGTCATTAATTCAGCCACAGACATAAACAGGGATTGAACTGCAAAACAAGTTTTAAAATCAACTTGATATTGTTATTTTTGTTATTGATTTGTTATTGTTATAGATTCCATGTTTGAAAATGGCTCATTGAGAAGATTGCCATAGTTGCTGAGCTCATGCTCCCAGAGGATGAACCCTTTCCATTCTGAACTCTCTGAGCTTTCCTCTAGAGCCACGGTGGAAGAAACAAAACACCGGCACACACAGATAAACGTGTTTCAGCTAGAAGCTGTCATCAGCGATGTTACTGTGAAACTGACAATGGCTACAATCTTGCTCACAGCTGGCTAATGCTATGCTATGATTGGACAGTCTGCGCCCAAGGGGCGGGGCATAGCGAAGGTTACTTAAGAAAATGTAAATCTTTGTACATACGTACTTGGCGTAGAAATGTTAACGATCTAAGGAAGTTTGTTGCCTTAACGCCGTGTGCTCCAGTATGCTTTAGACCAAATGGTTATTGGTTATTGAGGTATAAAGGGCTTTCATAAGTACATCTATGATCAATCTGGTTATAGTGAACATTGACATATTTATAGAACACATTACTCTTAAAAGCCTCTAGTTTTGAACCTTAATTGGGTGTACTTGGTGTGCATCAGTGAGTCAATAGCATTTCCTCTCCATGTGTAGGTAGTGTGCATTCTGTCTCTAGGAGATAAGCCTTCATTAACAGTGACGAGCCTCTCGCTGTCTGCCTGCTGTAAACCCATGAATGTCAAACACTGAGGGAAAGACTGCAGCGGAGGAATGTTTGACAGAGAACACACAAATCCCACATCGCTCCCCCACGTTTTTCACTGTGACAGCCTCCATTGTACACCGTTGTTTCACTGCTGGCATCAGACTGATAGGAGCTGCGTCCTATCAGCAGCACCATCCACCGCCCACCGGCCCGCCTCCCCCACGTTGTGGGGGAAATGTGGCAGAGCTCTCTCCAAGAGCGCTGCTCATGAATATGTACAATCATTATGAGTGATTAACATGCTGCTTTGAATATGTACAGCCACTGTCTCCAGAATACAGATTGCAGGGGCCGATAGGGGCCCAACGGTGCCTCTCTAAATCACTCAGCCTTTGATCCAGCATTTATCAGAGCCACAGTTGGAATGCCCTGCAAGTACAGAGGCACAATGAATTATGGGTGCTCATTATGTTTCTCAGAGGTGGAAAAACACGTGTTAAGTTGAATTTTGGCAGCGTTGCCGCTTCCATGAAGAACTGCTAAAGCATCCCATTGAGCATACGTTTGTAAGGAGTCCTTCGAAGAAGTATGGTAGGAACATTTTAGACTGAGTGCAAACAAGGTGCATATAAAAGCATCTTCCACCATCTTCCACTCAATCTAGCAGTCCTACACGGCAAAAAGCCAGATGCTTTTATGAAACTGATGGTTTATGAAAGGCAAAAAAGAAAGACACTGCACACACATTACTGTACGTGAAATGAAAAGGAGTACCAAGAATCGTGGGATCACACATGGAAATCCATCTTGTCAGGCTTCATGTCATGCGTTTGTGACTGGTAAGCCAGAGCATGGACCACTCAGAGTCCTGTGAGGAGCTACTGGCAGCTATGGGTGTGGCTCATGTGTGTGTGACGACACAGAGAGACCGTTTCTTCGAAACAACAATGGCGGCTCCTGAAGAGGTTAGCGTTGATGCTGCAATAGCATCAGTTTTATTAGGACTGGAGAGTATTTCTTCATTAAAAAGAAAAGCAAAGAATGACACTGAAGACTTTTCGACATGGAAAAGATGTCTTCTCTCTTCTCCCGACTGGCTTTAGCAAGAGTCTGATTGTATTTTTTGAGGGTGCCTGTCCTTTTCCAAACAGTTTCTAATGATGGCTTCTCAGGTGCTTCTGTGTAACAAACCGTCCAGCGGGTCAGGTTAGCTGACTAAGCCATACTTAACCAAAATGCGCCCACTTCTCTGTCCCCCTCTGATCATGGAGCATATCCCTGGAGGCCTCACTGCAGTAACTTGGTCCTGATATTTATTTTTATTACAGTATAACATTTGATAAAGTTGAAAATATAAAGCCACTTCACTTTATATATGTTTAAAAATGCTAGCTGGACATGTTTCATCTCTGATATGAGTTATGATCCTGACAAACGTTTCATTTTTCCATGTGGAAGTAACTATACATGTGTTTACCTTGCATGCTCTTCAGGCAGCTTCCTTTGTCGTTGCATATGAAACATCAAGTCCCCGCCTTTCACATATTCAATCACCAGAAATAACCTGCAAACCAGAGAGTGATGAGAAAATCCATCACAACACCATTAATGCTGTTTAGGACTGGATTGTTTTAACAAAAAATGTGAAAAACAAAGAGATGTATAATGACATATCAGATATAGAAACGATATCAGACACAAAAGAGCTCCTGTGCTTGTGACTTTGATTTAAAGCAATCTGTTTCTTGAGAAGGCATATATTTTACTTCTAAATTATTTCCAACAGATATGTTGCATGTTGAGTCTGCCAATAGTTCATGTTTTCTTTTTCATTTTCCTAACAAATCCATTGAAGAGACCAAAACCAAGTATGAGTTCACCCACTAGCAAGTAGTGCTGTTGTGGTCTGATATACAGTAGTTTATGCCTCGATGATATATGCAAATGATATCGGAAAATGTATTAATGTATTAGAAATGCCTCTTATACAGCCTGAAATGCTGGAGTGGGTATCGGTGTGAAGCGAGTCTATGCACCGATCCAATATCATGTCATCAGAATATTTATCAGCTCATTTATGCTACACAGGAACAACAGCACGTGTCACCTGCTACTTGATCTGTACACCCTGCCAGATTGCTACTGAGCATGTGCAACTGTGATGAGTTAACGAGTGAGCCACCTCGCTTCTTTCTCATCTCTGCCACATGAACAGTGCCGATCCGACGAGGTGCTATCAGAGAGTGTAACTTTACCCGGCGCTAGAAAAATGTCAGCGACTTAGCAATATCTTACACTGGAACATCCCACCAGTAAAATGGTGATGTGGTTTTAACGCTGGTATCAGATCGGTACTCTATCGGCTGATACGCAAGTTCAGGTATCGGAATCGGGAATGAAAAAGTTTCATTGGAACATGTCTACCATGGTATGGCTCGTCTTTGCCTTTTTAATAGTTTTTGGACATCCTTTTGAAAATATCACCACACAAGACAGTGCAAGATGGCCAAAAACATTTAGTATGGAGAAAGGAAGGCTCTACATACGTCCAGTTTAATAAAGACGCCTAGCTTTTGATCACTAGACCTTCATCGGACCAAATGTTTGATTAAAAACTTGAAATGACATTGAGCAGAGCGCAGCTGTGCTTTTTCATGCAAGTTCAAACTAAGGGTAAATCAATGCAGAAGGCCCTCAGGAGGGTAATATTTCATATTACTGAAAAGTACAGTCAGGTATAATGAGCTGCATAAGAAATGTATTGGCTTTAAATGCAGTGTGAGTGTCAGTCTTATTGTGATCTTACCGACTTTCTGTCTGGAAACAGGAGTGGAGCCCAACTAAGAATGGATTGGTGGACGCCTGCTCGAACACGTGCTTCTCCGTCTGCACCCAGTCGATATCCTGGAGGGATGAGGAGAGAAGGAGACAGAGATGGCATGAGGGGAAGATAATGTATTGACAATCAATTTGTCTGATCAATAGACATTCTCTGTGGTTAAACAGACAGAGGAAGATACACCATGCTACAAATAAAAAGTGTAGGTAGAACAATCCTCACATTCAGGATTATTCTCTCTTTCAGTATATATATACACAGTATATAGATGGTAAATGTACTTGCATTTGTTTAGCATCTTTCTAGTCTACTGATCACTCAAAGTGCTTTCCCCTACATGTCATGATTCACACATTCACACACTGCCCATCACAACTAATCTAATTCACACTCACACCCATTCATACACTGACGGCACAGCCTTCAGGAGCAGTTTGCGGTAGTTCACTGCTACATGTGGATTGGACCTGCCGGGAATGGACCTGCCGATCTTTCATTGTAGGTAATGAAAGCTTTAAACAAGTTGAAGATTAAAAACTACTAACAATTACACGCCGTGAGAACACCATAATCCAACAAAACTTCTTTCTTTTATCTTCAACTGATATTAACAATGGGGTTATGCTGCCAACAAACATTAGAAGCAATGATGATCAGGTATCCACCATGGACATGACAGGTAAAGTGGACATTCATCAAGAATTGCCTTCTCATCATTATCCCCAAGATTATGGTTATTAGGGGACGGACCGTATCATTTTGAAAACAACCGCTGTGCTTATGATCAGTCAAGATATTGAAATAAAGTGAGATACACCTGAATGCCAGATGACATCAGTCAAGGAGAAGCTGGGGACCCAGCAATAAAAACCAGTGTGTTCGTCACAGCTGTACCAGGTACAGAAGACCTGATAGAGCAGCCATTGACCCAACTTGGAATGAGGTCAAGAGAGCACCAGCCTGGATTTTCAAAGCGAAAGACGACTCAAGCAGCTCGAAACCACAAATGTGGCCTATAGACTGTGTGTCTCTTCATTAGTAAGCAAGCAACTCACTTGGAGAAAGGGAAAATAGAACTACTCACACTTCTTCACTAACAGCGGTCTACAGATGGCATGGTGTATAAAGATGGTAAATGGGCTGTACTTGTATCGCGCCTTTCTAGTCTTCCTACCACTCAAAACTCTTCAACACTACATGTCATCATTCACACCCATTCACACACTGATGATAGAAGCCACCATGCAAGGTGCTACCTGCCCATCAGGCCCCACCACAATCGGCACAGCCTTCGGGAACAATTTGGGGTTAACTGTCTTGCCCAAGGACACATCAACATGGACTACAGGAGCCGGGGATCGAACCGCCGATGTTCTGATTGAGGGACGACCCGCTCGTGCTGTGGTACAGAAGAAGTAATCGGCTTTTCTCTATTTCAGACACAATAATGGCAAACTCACTGGTTTTAATGGTGCAAGGGTGTACAAGTCTTGCTAGCTAGCTAAAGAGGGACTGATTTTGTACTTACAACAGCATTGATGACTCGTGTGGATTATTTAACTACAGTACGATGTAGTAGTTTACCCCTGGAGCAAAAATTGGAAATAAAATGCTTGGCTGGATGAATTTATCATATCTCAAGAAGGAAAAGATTTAAAAAAAAAAATAATAATTCAACAACGAGTGGTTCAAAAGGAAAACTTAATTTAAAAAAAGCCCTGTTCTGCTTTCCATTTTGGAGAGGAAACTGTCTGGACAGCAAGTGGATTCAAAGACTTGAAACATCTCTTAGAAAGGCTGGTAAAACACCAGAGTTTTGCATCATATGTGGATAATGCCTTCAAGTTATGCTTACTGGTAGCAATGAACATTGACTCAGCTTGATGGTGCGTACAGATGTGGCATTGAACAATACAACCGTCCCATTGAAGAAAACAGGTATGTTCTTGGCTGAATTATAACATGTATACAACTTTGTGGAAAGTGCAGATTGCCTTGTGCGGACATGACGAGTCTGCCAGCTCGTTAAACAGACATTATTCAAGACAAACATGTACAATGTTTACAAGGATGAGGTTGCTCAACAGATGACAAATGCACCTTTCGTTGCTGGTCATGAGCAGACTATTTGATGTTGAGAGATCTTTAACGTTGTCCTTTGGTGGTCCTATATGTTGGTATGGTTGATATGTCGTCAGATCTGCATTGTGTGGTTTCAGAAGGCTTTATTGTTCTTGAATTGTGTCATCACAGAAGACTCTGCACCAAGGAATTTATGGATTACAGGTCGTGTCCTATATACAACTCCCAAGGTGGAAATTAAAACGAGCACCAGCACATTGGACTGGCCAATAACTAAGTTATGCATGCTAATGCCCACTGAGTAATTGAAATGGACATTCAGCAGGGGCCAACGGTAAAGATTGAGCCCCAACAAGGAGACAACTCCAATACTCACAAGGGTCCATAGTCTCTGTATTTCATAGTAATGATGGGGAAGCTCTATTATGAATTGATGTGATAATTGTAAAGCTGCACATGCATATGACATTTAGGAGCTGAAACAGATTTTTTATCGTGGTTATGTAAATATGATTGAATTTAGTAGTATTGTTTCAGGCAAAGACATGACAGGGCTTGAATTATTTAAGTAGGGTTTGTTTAGTTTTGAACTGAATGGTGTAGCACTGTGGATAGGTAGAGGTGGCAAGCAGGAGGTTTTTAGGGAAAATGCTGACAAATTTGGTTTAAAGCAGGTTTTTTTGTTAAACAAATCCATGTTGTGAATTCCTGAAGTGATTAAATCTATTTTCTTTTAATGAATGATTTGCTTTACCTAAAACGCTACAGAAGTATTGGGATCACTTGGACCACGCGAGTCAGAAACAACCCGCACCCACCACTGGAATCTAATTAAAGCAGCGGAGTAACCTTAACCACTGACAGTTAGTAAAGAAAGAGAACCGATAGTATCTTTACTCTCAAATCCATTTCCTTTCATTATCATGTCAGCTGTGGTTTTAGCTGTTCATACTTCACTTATAGAGAAGTATGAGTGTCTAGCCTGAGGCTGGGTGGTTTTATGCCAATTTAAAATGTCATTAAGTTGATGATAGTTAATGTTTTATGTAATCTATAATATAACGTGTCAACATTTTGAGTTCCCCCACGCTGTGCTCCAACTCCATATGGTTCATTTATGACATCAATAGAGGCCCCATACAGAGCGCTCCATAACAAATTCCTTCTGGTCAACTCATTATTACTGGAGGAATTTATAATTATGCAGAATATGCCACTACAACATGTCTCGTGTTGGTTATTTCAGCTCCTCTAGTAGTTTGCAGTCTGTCTGTGAGAGCTAACACAAGCTTCCTCTTATGTCAAGCTACAGACTACCAAAGGGATGAATTATTAAACTAGTGTGCCTGAATAGAGCCATGAATAAATGAACGTCCAATCACAAAATTAGCACTCGATGGTTTCCTTAAAGCCTCTTTATTAGGGAAAAATCTCTTATACAGTCTAATCTGTTTTGGTCTTCAGCTATCACAAAAAAATGTGGATTTCAGCATTAGATTTTAGTATGAAGTGATTATGCGTGGAAAAGAAATAAAACATGTTATCAGTTGATAAGGGGGAGTGGAGGTATGAAGCCGGTGACATGATTTATGCTGTCCTGGATTAGTTGTGCAGATGTTGGATGATGCAGTAGCTCTGGACAGTGATACTGGTTCTACATGAGCCCAGCGGTTTCTGTGCTTAGTTATATGTTGAGCAACAGCACCATCTAGTGGGTTTATGCAACACAAACAGAAAAGTCAGAAGGATTCAGCACTGATCCCTCTCAACTTACTCTTTGATTCTTTGGGTGTTCATTCCTTTAAAAGGTACAGCGGATGCAAAACACAGTGTAACTAGTTCAGTCAGTTCAAAGTCGATTTGAACTAGGAAATGAAAATCACATCAAGGGCCAGATATATATAGTTTTTAACATGCTTTCATCCAATCTAAAACTAAAATAATTTTGACTGTATTGTTGCAAGTCCCATATAGCCTTCCCACATACACTTTGGTCCACATGAAGCCCTTAAAAAGTCAGAAGTTGCTTGGCCATCGTGGCATTTAGTCAAGCAAAATAAGGCCTTCTGGTTACATTCTTACAAGTATACAATGATACAGTTTGGCCTGGATATGACAACGCGAAGGTTGTGTGGGACACTTAATGAAAAGATCTAAGTGAAAGATCTTTGATCATGTAGTTTACATGTCCCATACGGCCGGCCTTCTGGCATACAATCAGCTGCAAATTGGCTGAAGCAAAACTCACATGCAGCCTATTTCAGCATCAACATTCCTTTTTTTGTGCCATTCTTTTTTTGCTTGCTTGCAGACAATGGAAGCGTGACTATCTGTTAGGTTTTGACACATGCCTGTGTGTGCGTCGCTGTGCAGCCCAAAGCTACAAGAAGGCGGGCCTAAAATGTGTTGAGAACCTGAACTGATAACGGGCCGCATCAAAATTTGCGAGGGGCTTGAGTTCGACACTTGTGTGCTGAATAAAAGAAGTGACTTTATATTCCAGTAGTGAACAGGGCAGAGTGGCCGTTAGATCATTTAGTAAAGGCTGCATGTTTTACTAGATTGAAGATCACACTTCAGCTTTTTCTATTTCATTCAACAACGTTTTTGTTGTTGCTCAACTTCAGTGTGAGACCAAACAGGATTTGATTTATTTCCTGAAGCCTTTGTGCAAAATGAAAGAACAGAACTGAAGTGTGGTCTTGGACATTTCCTGATTGGTAGTATGACAACACTAGTGAGTTTAAAGAAAGTCTATACTTGTGCACTTTAGTTCACAGACTGTGCTTTACACAGGAACAATGCACTGACATTCTATCGACTATCAACTGACTGTCAGAGCAACAAATGTGACATGTGAGTAATAAAGTGGTTCAAAAGGACACAGGGCAGCACCTCTGAAGCTTGTCAAAATCTTGTTTGTATAAATGTAAAATAAACAATTTGTCTTTTGGATTCATTCATAATAAATTTGTCAAGCAGCCTCCTGTTTTGTCGTCACAGTGAGGTTGTCCGGTTTGGTGCCATCGTGTCTGTACGGAGACCAAAACCAAAATCTGAACTCGCTGACTCTGTATGGACAACTTGAGCTAAAACCAGACACACTGCATTCGCTGCCTCCATCCATGTATGTGTGTGTGTGTGTGTGTGTGTGTGTGTGTGTGTGTGTGTGTGTGT